ACTCACTTCCCACGGCAGGACTTTCCCGCCCCGCGCCGGGTTTTGCAGCAGCAGTTGCAGAAACCCCCCCGGTCCCGCGCGCCTCGTGCTTCCCAGCTGCGGACGTGGAGCCGGAGCGAGCGCCGGGTTTCGGCCACGTGGCCGGGGCAGCGGTCAGGGAGGCGCGTGGGAGTGACTGTCCTGCGGAGCCGGGGGTGCGGGCGAGCGAGCGAGTCACGCGGGGGACGTGCTGCCCACTAATGACTTCCCCTTCCCTGCCAGGGCGGCTTTGCCCGGTGCTACGAGATGACCGATCTCTCCAGCCACCAGACCTACGCTGTGAAGGTCATCCCCCACAGCCGCGTGGCCAAGCCGCACCAGCGGGACAAGGTGGGTGGGCCAGGGCAGTGCCGCAGTGGGGGGGGGAGGGCATCTCCTGGCCCCTTGCGGGCACTGATGGCTGTAAGGCCCCTTCCAGATCCTCCATGAGATCGAGCTGCACCGCGGCCTGCACCACAAGCATGTGGTCCAGTTCTCCCATCACTTCGAGGACGCCGAGAACATCTACATCTTCCTGGAGCACTGCAGCAGGAAGGTGAGGGTGGAGCCGGCCAGGGCGTTCCCAGCCAGCGTGCTCCCGGGCAGGGCAGAGCTCCCGCTCCCTCCCCGCAGACGCTCAGCAATGCGAGACCTGTCTTGTGCCGGGTCCAGTCTTGCCCCATCCCCGGTGTCCTGCGGCAGCTGCAAGGGAGAGCGACTGGGGCTGAGCAGGGTTTTCCCCCTTGCAGCGCAGGCCGTACCCCCCGCTCCCTATGCCCCTTTGCTCCCAGCACAGCTCCAGTCCCTTGGTGGATCTGGCTACACTTGGTTTCCACTGCACCTTGTGGCAGTGAGCCCTCCCCCCGCTTCGATGCCGCTCTGTGGGGAAGGAACTTCCTCTTGTTAGTGTTAAACTTTGTAAACAGACTTTTTTCTCACCTCGGCCCGCTGCTTTCGGTTTCCAGCCCCTCTGGTCCCACACTCTGCTTATGCAGCGGGGCTGGTCTTGGCCCAGGTGCGTTTGGATCTGGTCCCTGCCTCGGGCTCGCCTAGGTATTGCCCGCATCTGCAATCCACAGGCTCCCGTGGAGCCGACTGCAAATCCCAGTTGCCGTTGCCCCGGCTGGGCTGGACCCGGCCTGAGCAGGCGAGGAAGGAGGCCGCGTCCCAGGGGCAACCATGCAGCCGCTCGAGCCGCCCGCCCCAACCCCGTGTCCAACCTCGGCTTCTCTTGCAGTCGCTGGCGCACATCTGGAAGGCCCGGCACACGCTGCTGGAGCCCGAGGTGCGGTACTACCTCAAGCAGATCATCTCTGCCCTCAAGTATCTCCACCTCAGAGGCATCCTGCACCGGGACCTCAAACTGGGTAGGTCCAGGGCACCCCACGCTCATGCTGCTGTCTTGGGAAAGTGGACACCCCCCCCCCCC